CTCAGTGCCTTTGCACAACTCCCAGCTTCCAGGACAGCCTCCAAAAACAGAGTCAGAACTCGGTGTGAACCACCCAGGGCAGTGGGGGTTATGGACCACCTGGGCGGGTCTCGGGGAGGGATCTTTGACATCAACAGCCCCAAGTGGTGCCCTCCGTGAGCCAGGCCCTGAGGTCCTATGTGGCTGCTGCAGGGCTGGTCAGAATCGGGCACCGGGAGCGTGAAGCCCGAACAGACCATCTGAACCTGGGCTGTGAGCTGGGTCCAGGGTGTGGAGTTTACGGGCCCAGGGCCCCACCCTCACGGGCTCATGCTTTCGTTGACACAATGGCCCAGCAGAGGTGGCGATTTCCAAAGGCCTCTCCCATGCTTGGGCTGGCCTGAGCTGCTCTGGTCCAGGGCAGGGGTCGGGGGAGGCCGCGCAGGGCACGTCCCCCGCCCTGGAACCACCTGCCTCGTAGAGGGGGCGGGGCGGCGTCTTGTGCCCTCTGTCTCTTCAGTGCAGCCGGCTGGATCCTCACCTGAGCGACCGTCCTCCTCAAGGGCTCTCGTTTTAGGCCACTATCCCCACCTCTGGGACTTGGTGCCTAGGTGGGGAAGGAAGAAAGCAAGCAGTAAAGCCCGCTTCGTGTCTTAGGGGTGGACACACAGGGCCATGTAAGATGACCAATTAGTAGAAGTTGGCGGGCAGTGAGGAGGGCTGGCTTTACAGGAATGCCTGGAGGCAGAGCCTGGCCTCAGGCTGGAGGGACACCCGCCAACCGTGAGTGGCTGGCCGGCTCGTGGTTCCGGGGGCCGTGGGCCACCCCTCGACGACCCCTGGGGGTCAGAGCTTGTTTTCCCCACGCCTGCTCCCGGCCTTTGGCCTGACCGCCCCGCCTGAATCCGAGGAGGCAAGCCGGGCCTGCTGGAGCCTGGGACTAGGACTGGGAGCCACCTCGTGGGGGCGAGGAGGTCCCCAGCACCTTCCCGTGTCTCCGCTCCTTTCCCAGGACTCGGTCTACGTCTTCCGGGAGGGGGCCCTGCCGCCCTATCGACAGATGTTCTACCAGTTATGCGACTTGCACGTGGACGAGTACGTCCCGAGGCGCCTGCCACGCCCAGGAGGGACCGTGGGGCGCGGGTCAGGGAAGAGGAACTGCCCGGGGACCAGAACGCTTCCTGTGGCTCTTCCGTTTCGCGTCAGCCGTCGTCTTAGCGAGAAGGCTGACTGCCTGGGAGTTAAGGCCGCCGGGAGATCCCTCTGCCAGGGCGTGCGGCCCCCGGAGCGGGTCCAGGGTGCCAGGGTGTCCTGTGTGCACCGCAGGCGGTGCTGGGCTGTGGTCTCTGCTCTCCTCCTCTGTCTCCCACGTGGGGGTTCCCAGTCCCCAGGGCTGGCCGGAATTCCAGGAACCTTTAGTCCAGTTGTTCTCAGTGATGTTTAAAAACTGGGGATGGGATGCTGGGAGTGGGTAGGGATGAGAGCAGGTTAAACACAGCCTGGAATCTGGTGGGAGCTCTGAACTCTCACCAGAGACGTGGGCACGCGCCCGCTTTGTGTGCCATGTGGGGGTCAGGGACCCCCTGTCCAAGGGCCCCGGCGGGGGATGTGCCACTTTCACGGGCGTGCTTCCTGACCATACTCACCCCCCGAGCGGGCCCTCTAAGCATGACCCTACCTCTGCCACAACCCTCACTGGCCTCTGTGAGCAGAGGCCCCGCCCTGGGACTGGGTGTCCTGCCCCCAGGTTGCAGAAGATCATTCGCCGCAATGACGGGGCTGAGAACTCCTGCACGGAGCGGGATGGCTGGTGCCTCCCCAAGACCAGTGACGACCTGCGGGACGCCATGTCCCTCATGATCCGCCAGACCATCCGCTCCAAGAGGCCTGGTGAGAGCCGCTCGGAGTGATGGGACGCCCCCCGTCCCTTGGGCCCCACTCGGAATGGAGCAAGTGTCCCTCGTGGCCCCAGGTGGGGCTGGAACAGGGCGCTGCCAGCCAGGGCCGCCCCCACACCCGATATCCTCTGGCCATATGTGGGCACGGGGCACCTGTCCTTCCCCTGGGAGCCTGAGTCCTGTTGCCCTGCGCTGCCTGCCCCTCCCCGGGTGTGAGGAAGGGGAGTGAGCCCTCGCTGGGCTGTGCGCCTGATGGGGCAGGGGGAGGGTAGGCAAAAGGGCCCCTCTCAGGGTCCCGCCTAGGCTCGGGCAGGGGGTGGTCCCAGACCCATCAACCCCCACGGAGCTGACGGGAGCAGGGGTCTCAGCCTCCTTTAGGACGCAGTCCCCCGAGAGTCTGGTCCATAAAAGGCCTCCCACGGCATCCCGTGCACACCCGGGGAGTCCACTGGGCCCGTGCAGCCACCCAAGGCTCCTTCAGGAGGTGATTTTCAAAGCCACTGGCTCCAGTGTCCCCTGAAGTGCTTGTTAGACTGCAGGGTCCCAGGTCCCCCAGACGGCCGTGCTCCCCAAAGCAGCTTCTGCACAGATCGAATTCAGATGCCCGTAACTAGACAGGCGCTCAGGAGCCTGCCTGGGGGCGGGGCTGGCTCTGGTGAGACTGGTCTGGGGGCCACCCAGGAGCCTACGTTGGGAGACACGGCTTTGTCTTTTGGCGCCAGCTCTGTTCTCCAGCCCGACCAAGGCTGACGGCGGGAAGGAGCAGCTGACCGGCGAATCTGGGGAAGAGGAGGAGGATGAGGAGGAGGAGGAGGAGGACTTCAAGCCGTCGGAGGGGAGTGAGAATGAGATGGAGACAGAGATTCTGGACTACGTGTGATGCAGCCCTGGGCCCGAGGCTGGGCCTCCCTGACCAGGCCAGAGTTGTGTCTGACCTGATGAGGGGGCCAGGACGAGCCCGGGCTCCCCACGCTGCCTGCGGGGGCTGGAACGGCGGCCCCTCTGAGGAAAGCTGGGATCCCAGCAGGCGGGGGCAGCTAACCTTGTCCTTCCTGGGACCTGCTGCTCACGGCTGCCCGCTGGCCCTGGGTGCTTGGGGACATCCGCGAAGGTGGCGCCCTGGCTTCTCACAGCCCCGAGCCAGCCCAGTGTCCAGTGGGCTGAGCCGGCGCCCAGCACCTCCCTCTGGCTGAGACCAGCTGGAGCTGGAGGTGGAGATGGTGCGGTAGGGCAGGGGCTGGTTTCGGCTGGGCCTCACGACCGAAGGCAAGTACGGATGGGGCTGGAAGCCTGGTCCACGGCCACAGGTGACCAAAGAGCCTCCTTGGATTCAGACCCCATCCATTTGGTGTAGCCTGACAGAGGGCAGGCCCAGCGGGAACTGTCATTAAATACGTTTTCCCAAGGAGTCTTGGTGTCTCAGTGCGGGTGTTGGAGCCAGAGGGGGTGTCCTCTTGCCTTGGGGCTTGGGCTCCGGCCAGACATCATTGGTTCCTTCAGTTGTTCATTCAGTGACCTCATGCTGGGTGACACTGGGATGACTGAGAACAGGCCTGCTAGGCCAGGTGAGAGCAGCCAGAAGGAACTCCAGCCTTGCAGTGTCCGACAGCCGCATGCTCATCCCTTCCTGTTCCAGATGGATGTGTTCTTGAGAGGTTCCTGGGAAACAGACCTGTCTTCTTCAGCTGCCCAGTGTGAAACCAGAGGCCACACGGGTCCCTGGTGGGCTGAGCCACCCTTCCTGGGGGAGCGCTCCCCTCCCCCTGCTGGGCAGGTGCTCGCAGTCCTGCAGGGCAGCCAGAGCCAAAGATGAACCCATCACTCCCTTCCTCAGCCAACAGACTGGGCCACCTCATGTGACCACAGGTTCCAAAGTCAGTGGACGCCCCATCCTGCCCATCAGGCTCCTGGGAAGCCCTCCCACGACAGATCCCAGTGGCTCACAGTTGGCCTGAAGTGGCCGGTCCTGGGAACCTACCTTCTATAGTCAGCCCCCCTCCATGTGCTGCTCCCTGCTGCTGGGGACAGGGCATACCCAGCTGCTCCCCACTCCCTCACCTCTGTCATCGTTTCCCTCAGAGGCCGCTGGTCTCTGCTGGTGGATCTCAGCTGGGGCAGTCCACCTTCCCTGAGCCGTGCCACTGACCTCGAGCCTCAGAGGGAGAGCGTCTAGGTTCTGGTCCCCTCTCCCGGAAGCCGCTGTGGTCCCTACGCAAACCTGAGAAGGGCTTTCCTGGGACAGGGACACTCCCTCTGCAGCCAAGCCCTCCCTTACCCGGAGTGCGCCTTCTCTGTGCCAACCTGGAGGGGCCACCCGAGGTCTGCCCACGTTCTTACAGAGTGTGAAGTGGGTCCCCACGTAGAAACCTAAGTGCCTACACCCCCTCCCTTAGAACATTTTAAGGGAAAATTGCAGGTAGACACAGAAGTGCTAACTTACTGCTGAGCCCCCAGCCACTCACCCTGGGGCTTCGCCAGTTACCTGCTGCCGAGCTTGCCGCTTGCCTCCCCCGTGGCTTTACCTTTGTTCCACCCTCGTGCTTTGCTGGAACCGTTCTCAGGAAAACGTGCATCTCTAACACATCAGGACTTTTTGTTTAAAAAACACAATAATGCTGCAATCACACCTAATAAACAGCAGTTCAGCTCGAACGCGCCCGTCAGCCTGGGAGGCACGGGCGTGTGCTGGGTCCCTTTAGTGACATGAGCGTTGCCGGCAGGGCCAGGTGGTGTCACCCTCATCCCCTGGCCTTGTTTACGGTGCTGTAACGTGGCCAGTGGTGACCAGGGGGACACTTTTTAGCTTCATAATGAACTCAGGTTTGTTTCAGTCAATCTCGGTCTTGCTTTTTGATGCCCAGTGTATCTCACCTCTGGCCTGAGAGCAGCCCCAGGTTGGCTCCCTGTCCTTCGACACACCCTCTGGTGTTCCCAGCCTTCCTGCTTCTGGCCACCGTGATGGCCCAGCCTCCCCCACTGCGTCTCCTGTCTCAGACCCAGCCTAGTTGCCCCCCAGGGGGCCCCTTTCCTTGGTGTGGAAGTGGTGTTTAGAGACCCCAATCTGGGCAGCAGCGGGGGCTCGTTGCTCCTGGGTTTCCTTTACCTCTAGGGCTTTGGACTACACAGCGCTAAGAAACAGGCATTTTTTTATTTCAAAGAAAAAATAAAATAATTTGTTATAAAAATAAATTATAAATTATGAGTTCATGCAGATATTTCCCAATTGAAATACTTGTTTCTTTTTCCACCGATGCTAAAAATCTTATACCACTAGCATAATTACTTTTTCTCCTACCAGTATAATAGATCGTATAATAAATCACCAAGTATACGATTATTTAAACAAATGATAAACTATATAAAGCAATACATGATAAAAAATAATAAGACCCCTGGAGATCATTTAGGATTGCTTTGCCCTTTCTTTTTCCTTAGGATAAATCCTGCTTGGACATACAGTCCTGCCTCCAAGTCACTGGAAGGAACTGTTTTCACGGAGGCTAGAACATCTCCTGATAAATGACCTAAAGTGGATGTTCTCTGCCTGAAAACAAATTTTAAATGTTCCTTTTGAGCACCTTGTAAATAGTAAAATTCGTAGACCCTGATATTAATTGTGCTATGAACCTATCATAGGTAGTCTCCCTGAGCAAAGGTATCAGTGAGGAAGTTCAGAGAGGTAAAGACACCGGTTCGGGTCACACAGCTATCGAGTGCGTCTCTGATTTGCAGCGTCTGCCTTGGATGACGTTGACACAGGTGCATTTGCCTTTCGTAGAAAATGCTCCAGCCCAGAAAGAAACATTTTCAAAATGTATTTGCCTAAGGTCCATGTGCCATTAAATCAATCGGGTTAGTTTTCTGTTTTGTCAATTATATCAATTCAGAACGTTGGTCATTCCAGCCTAGACTTTTTGGAAGGTCATAGATGCTCCAAGCATCCAGTGATAACCGTAGCATTTCTCTGAAGAAAAACATGCCTACCCACACACACGGGCATCCAGTTCCAGGGGCATCGAGGCCCCCATGATCTGTCCTGAAACTTCCTCACAGGTCCGCAGACCAGGACTCAAAGCTCCCGGTTCGGACGTTTGGATTAAATTTTCTCCACCACGTTACCACAGTGCAGCTGAAATGTCACAGCCACGACTAGTTTTGTCTGATTTTCCCAGGTTTCTTTTGTGAGAACCAGGGAGTCAGAAGATTGCCTGAGAGAGGAACAGCAGCAGCGAGGCCACAGCGCAGCAAATGCCACACCGTCCACGCCCGGGGGACCGAGGTGGCCGAGGCACACAGACCACCCCTCCGCTGGGCTGGGGTCCCAGGGTTTGGAGGAGATCTGTAAGAGGAAACCCAGAGCCGGGCAGTAGTTAAAGCAGTAAGAACAGTTTATTCAGGATTATTGCAATAAGGGGAGAGAGACTTCAGCACAGAGCAGAGCTCAAGCCCAAATACAGCACGGGCAAGTGGGAGTTCATAGCCACAGAGCAGGGTGAGTCCGTGGATGGAAACTTACTGGGAGGGAGCATCACGGGTGAGGGGGCTTCTGGCGAGACTGACCTAGCGGGATTCTTGCTGACGGCAGGCCAGGGTGGTCAGAAGCACCTGGGGGACGGCGGAGGGCGGGGAACCCAATCAGACATTGCAGGGGCTCAGGTATGGATGGTGGGGGATACTGGTTAAACCAAACTGGCAAGATTCTTGCTAAAACTGGACAATGCAGAGCTGGAAAAGAGTCCGGAGAGCCTGAGTAGAGTTTGGTCAAGGAAAGAGTCTTTGTCAGGCCTCAGACGTCGGCCAAAGCTTTCCTGGCTGAGATTAACATCCCAAAAGTCAGATCTCTAAAGCAGGGCCAACCAGTGGACGCACTGGGCAGACGCAGCCAGGAGCCCAGCCGTGAGCCTTCCTTCTAGGCTCTTCCGGGCCTTTCGGGACGCGCTCCTCAGGTGTTTGCTAATCCCCTGCTCTGTGCAGGACCTGGTGGGCCCTTGCTGTTCTATAAAGAAGTAGCCACCTCCTATTATTGAGATTCAGGAAAAAACCCTCTCCCCCTGCCTCCCCTCCAGCCCCCCACCCACCTCCTTCCTTTCCTCCTTTACTGTAAAGAAAACTGCACACAGGGCCCCCTCCCCCACAGTCAGAATCACTTCCTTCAGAGCAGACGCTCAGAACTGGAGGAGCTGGGCAGAGCCGTGAGTCAGCAGGAGTGCTTCCTCGTCACTGACAGCACCCCTCGAATCCTTTGTGCCCCAGTCCCCACACCCGCCAGCTGAAGCCGTGCCCATCCGGCAGGCCCCCTTTTTCCCAGCGTCCTGACTTCTCCCTCCTACCAGAAGCCACCCCCCCTCCCTACCTTTCCTGCCCTCTCTCTATCCACTCTGCATCACAACAGATGTGGGCGCTGGAAACAGTAACAGGTAGACTGGCAGACAGGTGTCTATCTGTAGGTCCCTGTGGGTCTTGGTGATGGTCACAGGCCTGTGGCCCCAGGGTCTTCACTTAGGCCATTTCTGTGGCCAGAAAGCCCAGCTGTTCCTTTTCCTCGGGAAGCCCTCAGGGCTGGGCTTGAGCCTCCCGTCCTCCCATCCCAGGGCTGTCCCGGTGACGGTGAGGTCTCCCCACACTCAGGGCAGGACAGCCTCCTGATGCTCAGGTCCCCGCCTCCCACCTCAAACTGCATGACCAGTGCGCCCTCAGTACCGAGGGGCAGCACATTGGCCACCCAGCAGCACCCAGCCCTTTCTGCCCTGGAAGTCACGTGCCCAGTCCCCTGTAAACCCCATCTGCTGAGCTGCAGGCAGGGCACAGGGAGGAAGCACACCCACTTCCCCAAGGTTGAAACGAAGCCCTTGTGCCGGTGTCAGAATGCAGGGCACTGGGCACCCAGCCCTTGCAGCTCCCCCACCCCGTGCCACCTGCCTCTGCTCCCAGGTAGGCAGTCACCTGCACAGGTACACTGTGGGCAGCAGGGCACCTGGGAGCAGCCGGCCCTGGGAAGGAAAGACCATCCCTGCACGTGTGTGTGTGTCTGCACGTGACCTTGGCCAAGCCTGAGCCCGGCTGGAAACAGCAGCTGTCTTCTGGCCTCGGTTACACCACCTGGAGTGCGGCCAGCCTGGAGGAAGGGGCAGAGGTTAGGAGGAGGGGGAAGAGACCCTCCGCAGGCAGCTGCCAACCCGGGCTCCCGGCTGGCTCTGGCCCCATAAATTCCCGCAGGCCAAGAGGGAGGGCCACATACAGGCAGACACACACCATGGGGCGCCCGGGGCTGGCCGTCTTGGGCCTTGCTTGCTGCTTGGCAGTAGCGAGTGCGGCGAAGGTAAGCGAGCGCCCAGCAGAGGGGCCCCTCTCTGTCCGCCAGGCCAGACCCGGGAACACTGGGGATGGGGCCCAGCAGAGGGAAGGCAGA